TTTTCTTTGATTCTCTATTCTCTGTTTTTATTCACCCTTTTTTTCTTTCATTATTCTTCATCCCATCTTTCCTTGCTTGGATTTATCATATACCTTTTCTTCCAGTCTTCTGTTTTTCTTTCATCCTCAATTTTCCATTTTTTTTTTATCATGTCCTCTTTAGTTTATCTTTCTTCACTTGATCCTTTTTTCTTTGTTTAGTTTCCTTTTGTTTCCGCCTCGTTGGACGTTTTTCCATATTACAATCCTCTATTTTTTTCCTTTCATTTCCTTCCATCCATCCCCTTTTTCTCCTTCTTTTTTCCCATCATTTTCCTTTACCTCCTTTTGTCCTTCTTCTTGTATCTACATTTCTCTCCTCTGAACGTTTCTTTGTTCCTGTCTTCTTTTGTTTCCCTCTCTTTTATTTCTTCTCCTCCCCGCTGCCATTGCCTTCCTCCCTCCCTCCTTCCTCCTCTCCTGTGGCTGAATTATTGCATCCATAATGTTTCCTGACAGTGACGTTGATGGAAGCAACTGTACATTTAACAGCCTTGATCTCCTGATATCAGCCCGCTGCCTCACAAGCAGGCACACCTGTGTGTGTAATTCTTTATGTTGCCTGTTTAGGTTTTTTGATTTTCATGACACCCTGAGGACTTAAAGCACAGAAGCCTGTATCTGTTGCCACAGCTCCTGGTTTCAGGCTTATAGGTCAATGTCACAAGGGTGTTTTGAATCCAGTAACGGTTAAGATTATTCATAAATGCAGATTATTCATAAATGCAATCATAACCATGATTACAGTGAAATTAATGTAGAGATGTCAGCATGTGTGCATTCAGTAAACAGCAGGAGGGAACAGGTCTTTACATCCCTAAACAAAAACTTGTTTAAACGTGTTTGTGATTATTTATGTCTGAGATGGACAACGGAAGAGGAAGGGATTGAGGATGAGGGGAAAAAGAGATGAAAAACGACACTGGACAGAAAAGAGGAGGGAGCGGAGGGAAAACAGGAGGAGGGATTATATCTGGGAGAGATGGTTTATGAACCGTGAGATGAGTTTGACTGAACTGGAAGGAAAAACGCCACAGGAGGAATTTTACAGCTCTGCATTAGAATTGCATGTTTGTTTCTATCCTCTTCTTCTACTGAAACTGAAGTTTGTTACTGTGCTTTCAGCAGATGTCTGTATGTTTATTGTTTCAGAAGAAGAAGAAGGGGATCCTCCTTCAGAGATGTTGAACATTTAACATTTCAATCCTGGTAAACAGCAGTATAAATCTGGTTGATGATGATAAATTTTCATTGTCAAAAACTCCCAGGCCTTCCTCAGGCCAAATGCCATCTCCAGCCTCGCACCTCGTCTGGGGGAGGCCTGAGTCTTGCTAAGGCCAGCCGAGGGACACAGTCTCTTTACCGTCCTTTGATGAGACAGGCCCGGGACACCGTCCAATGGGGACATGGGGAGGGGCATTGGAACAGATCACCTCAGGTGGCTGCTGAGGATTTGGAGGAGCGGCAGCTCTCCTTCCAGCTTCTGTGAAGGCAGAGCTCTGCTTATAAACGGCACTTTGTTCTGTGGTTATGACCCAATTTATAACCAAAAGCTTCATAGCTATATGTACCTTTCTGCTCAGCTCCGTCTTCACCACAGCACATACGGTGGATGCACTAATCTGTCTGTCAACATCCATCTTTATTCTCCTCTCCTTCAATAACAAGAAGCAGATATATGAACTCCTCCACAGGAGACTCTCTTCTCCTGGAGAAACTTGGCCTCAGACTTGGAGGACCTAATCCTCACACCTGCCCCTTCATGTCTGGCTGCAGACCACACCGCTGTCTGCTCAGACTGTGGCTCAAGGGAGCAAGTAGAACCACGTCCTTTGCAGACCTCCTCTGGCCCTGGGTCTGCCCAAAAAATCCTGTCCATGAAAGTTGTGAACAGGAGGGCAGCCGTGTCAGAACAAGTGTCCACAAGAGGCCTGCCCCCCTTAATAAAGAACATTTGGCCCCTGGTAAAGGAACATAGGTCCCGGAAAAGCTCCATCCATGGGTATTGGTTCCAGAGGATGTAGAGATGGTCTACCATTTATTACCCCCCCAGGCTCAGTCACCTCCAGTGTCTTTGTCCATGAGCAACGTTCTCTCCCATAAACAGAGGATCAAATCAGCCCTACAATATTCAGATGCGTGTATTGAAATTCATTTGTTGTAAAATCTATGTGTTTGGTTGGATCTGTAGGAAAGAAAAGATCATTAAAATGTATGAATAAATCAAACGGCTAATTAAAGGGTTGCTCACTAATTAGGATTGTTTAATTCAATGAAGATGTCCAATGAAGCGTCGCTGTTGTCTAAAGATACATCTGCACTCTCAGCTGGATTCATTGAAAGAGGAAAAAATGAGAAATGAAAATGTTTGGTCTGTAAATCCTTCTGGATGTTTACCTGAACTGTTTCTCTCTTCTTTTTTTTTTGGATGCTAAATGGATAAACAGGCTGTTTGCAGCCATGTCATGCCACCAGCCTCTGGCATGTGAAATATTGACCTGAGCCTGAACTCAGCTCTGACATTTTGAGACATGCACCCCACCATGAGTGTGTAGGCACGCAGGCTCGCTCCCCGGAGGCCCTGCAAACACCCACACTATGCAGTCTGAAGTTCATCGACGATGAGGGACAGACTGAAGGAGCAGTTCTGCTCTTGGACCTGCAGGGCTCACAGCTGGCTCAGTCATTCTGTTTTTGTTGCTAAATGTCGAAGAAAACCCCATATGTATTAAAGCAATCCTGCTGTTCTGATTTTAAGAGATCAAGCAAAGGTGTATGTGTGATGCAGCTGCTGAAATATTCCAGTAATTTAGCTGGTGTTTATTATTGTATTGTTACACCAACAGCAGCATATAGTTAGTTTTTGGGTGTCCATGAAGCATTATAGGTGTTGCTGCTTCAAAATGTTTATTTATTATGTTGTGAATACAGATTAAGTCTAAAGAATTGTTATCATTTAATTTGATCCTGTTGCAACATCTAATTAAAATCTGATTCCAGGCTTTGACTAGGCCTTTCCAGAAGCTTCGGTTCTACCCTTTATACAGAGGTAACCTCTGGATCCTGTTACATAACTCCTCTGACCTTAAGCTCCCAGACTGATTGCCGAGCTTCTTCTAAATGTTCTGCTAGAACACATAGATGATGGTTCCTTTAATGACAGGTCTACTGGTTCCACTTCCCCTGAGATAAGATAAAGGCAGTGGCGGCTGGTTGAGTTTTCCCCGGGGGGGGCCTATACAGTACATTCAAATAGATATATACGAAAAACTAATCAAACGTATATTATTTTATCACCAGTATATTTATATGAATGTCAACAACAAAAAACAACATTATAACATTATAAAAATATGAGTAGGTTTACTTTTTGTCCTTCTGAGGTTTTTTGAAGATAAATCTGTGTTTTGTATGGTCCAATATGGTGTCACATGGTGTAAAAAAAATAATGTACCAGTTTAATAATGGAGAATCTATTAGTCAGCTTTGTAGTTTTATATATAAAAACTATTTATTTTCTGAGAACTATACAAATTAACAAACACCTACTACACTATACTATATTATTTTCTATGTAAATCCCAGATTGTTCATTCTTCTTTGCCTTTTCTGAAAAGAAAAAAATGCTTTAATTTAGTCTTACCTGTCTTTATTCATGCTGGGTCAGATCCTGGCATTTGAAAAAGGAGGCAGGGAAAGCAGAATAAAGCTTTAGCCTTGCTGCATGCAGTTAGCCAAGCATTTTCTCCATTTGTGGATCATGGTTCTGACAATGGTTCCCTGTGCTCCCAAAGTCTTAAAAATGGCTTCAGAAACCTTTTTAAAAATCCAAAATATCACATTAGACACAATATGTTCCTCTTTGGGATCTTTTTGCCAACTTCATGTTGTCAGACAAATTGTGTTTAGTTGATTAATTAAGGGACAGCTCGGTGAAGGAGCAGGTTGCCTCCATTTTTACCATCCACACCAGAAGTTGGTTAATAATATCTCTTTCTTTTAGCTCTTTTTTTAAACTAAAAAGGCAAATTTGTGTTTTATCTTATTCTCTAATTTCAATGAGTGTTACGTAATTGGCCCCTGATTGCTGGTTAAACAGACGTTTAAAAACTTTTGTTTATTTACTCGGTTGCCTGTATTTTTGTTAGCAGTTAGAACTTATTGCCTAAAAAAAAAATAAATAAATAAATAAAAGTTCACGAAGTTGGTTTTGGAGGAAACCTAAACCATGGCAACATTGATGGATGTGTCTCTAGTAAGATCCATTTGATGGTATATAGAAGTGGATGGAGGTGCAGATGTTGTCCACCATGTTCTCTAACATCTGATTCCCCAGAAACGTAAAGCTTTAAAGTCCCACAGCTTCTCGTCTTGCTTGTATTACAGAGAATATTCTGATTAAAATATCTGTAACGCTATGTGGCTGCTGATGAGGTAATGCAAGCATTGATGCAGTGCTGGGGCGGACGCCTCTAAAATGTGCAGGACATGGGGTCTGGTGGACTGAGTTTGAAAACCACAGCTGTAGTCCATCTCTTTGTTCTCTGTGAGGTCAATCATCGTTCTCTGTAACCTTGATTCTGGTATTAGATTTATGACCATTTATGCACGAAAGGGTACATTTTAAGGGTCTTAGTAAAAGGCCCTTCTGCACACCATTCTGTATTGATGACTGGATGTTTCAAATAGTCTGACCAGGCCTGCAGAGGCCTCTCCTTCAGTCTAGTATCCAGTTGTAGACAGGGACACTGGCATTTAGATGTAGAAAGTATGTTTAGGGAAGCAGCACAGTAGAACATTCAGGAGAACCTGGCATTATTAGAAATCTTGCAGTTGCGAAGGTCTGGGCTCCAACCTCTGCTGTGGGCTAAGGGTTCTGTGAGGTCAGGATGTGGGTAATTACTGATCCAGTCATTTCAAAGTATTAATAAAAAACTGATGGGGAACTCTGCCTCTTTCAGGTGTTGAGGAGGAACCTCAATCTTCTGCAGCTCTGGTCGTTCAGAGAATCTTTGACGCCATCGAGAAACATGGTGAGGAGAACAGAAAACAAACTAATCAGATTTATCAGAGGATGGGTCGGTGGTGCATGAATAAACCACCAAGGAATTACAGTCAATGGAGAACTGCTGCTATTTGTCATGTCTGCATTTTATTCACTTACAGGGCCCGAATTTCACTACTAATGGATCTTAAATGAGGTGAATTATTAGATCAAATTTGATTTCTTCAATCATCCAAGATCAATTCTGTAGAGTAATACGAAGGCTGTGGTTTGGGTGCTTTTGACATATTTGAGGATTGTATGAAGGAAATGATTAACTTTCAAAGTAAAAGCTGATATCAGACAGAATCACTGATAAATTATGGTGAACAGAACCACTCCTTAGCTCAAAGGAACAGCTTATCCCCAGGGTGCCATGCAGATGGTTGATTTATCATGTCCTCCACAGGTTTGAGCGGCGAGTCTCTGTATGAAGCTCCTCCAGACACCAGCGTTCCCAAGGAGCTCCGCCAGGCCCTCGACTCAGGTACAGCAACTATCTGTAGGAGGAAACACAGCATTTTAATCACCAAAGAAAGACCAACAAGCAGCTTCCTTCCCTTTGTGCTGGTGGGGAAACTGGAAGTTACAGGATGACGGAGGGAGAAAACAGAAACTGTTGAGTAATGTTAGGGACAGGGGACCAAAATAAAGGAGTCACTTGTTGCCATAGTGATTTAGCACACCCCAAGCCAACCACAATCCTTTTGTTCATTGTGTAGATTTTCAGGTTTTTCTAGAGATCTGAGAGGTTAAAGGGTTCGGATCGTCCAACTCCCTGTGACTCGGTTAAACTCTGTATGGTGGTTCTGCTGGATATTATTGCCGAACGATGGGCTGGATTTAGAGGTGGCTCCAGAGATTTTACCCTGCAACTGCTGAAGTGGGGGTGAGCATTGAGCTGATGGAGCTAGGAAGCATCCTTCGCTCCTACGTTTTAATGCACACAGACACTAACAAAAACAGAGGGGCTCGACTACCCTTAAATTTTCTGCTTTTAAGTGAAAACACATAAACCACTTGTGTAGTGTATTGTGCAGGATAATAACTGTTCCAATCAGTTCATTGTGTTTTGTTTCCCCAGATCTGGAAAAACAAAATTCAGTAAATTCATCCTGAATTTACCAGGAACATCTGGTTAAGTAGATGTATGGTTAAAATATCAATAAATTATTGATAAATGCAAAATTTGGTAGTTAAATTAGATGCCCCTAATTATTTTCATTTATTTTCTTTTATTGTGGAATAAATTAATCAAAATATTATATATGGTATGGTAGGGGGAAGATGGCCTGTCCAGGATGTATGTATTAACCATTTTTTTCCCTACTTGCTTTGATTCTGTTTTATTTTCCTATATTTTAATCATGTAAAGCACTTTGGATTTTCTTTGTACTGAATTGCTGTGTATTACAAATAAATCTGCCTTGCCTTGCCTAATTATAGAAATCTCTCTGCAATGATTGCCTCAAATTATTTTTTTGGCCCGTATAATATTTTAAAATTCAATTAAGGTTAAGAAACTCCCTTCCCTTATATATTAAAATTGAGACAGAATGATCTGCAAATAAAACAAGAAGTGATGCCAAAAACTCCATAAAATACATGTTAATATGTGTGTTGGAGACAATGTGGACACCAGGAAGCCAATCATTGGCATATCTTTTGGGAATGCCTAGTGATTAAACCTTTTTGGGCAGAACTTCATAAGGTACTAAATGGTCTGTTTAAAACTAATCTACCTCTGCAGTTCTCAACATTATTTTTAGGAAATGTTGATTTACAGTTTGGGAAAGCAGATGAATATTTATTTGATATTCTGATAACTGCTGGTAAAAAAGCACTGACAAGACGTTGGATGGACCCCGACCCACCCACAATACAAGAGTGGACAAGTATCGTAAATGACATTTACCTTATGGAAAGGATCACCTTCTCCCTCCGCCTTCAGAAAAACATATTCACTAAGAGGTGGGCCAAGTGGGTTAAACACGCTGGTCTTGAACAAACAGAAGTATGGAATGGATGACCATGTGGTGTCTTGTATAATTTATGCTCTGTAGCGTCTAAGGATTAACATAATAATGTATCTCTCATACTTTATTTCAAAACTGCGTGGAACATAATTTATTCCTGCTTTCTCAGGTAGACCTGTCTTTCCCTGTTTGTTCAAAGTTGTTAGATTTAATTCGTATACTTTGTTAATATTTTGTTTATAATTTTATACATACAAAAATTCTGTGTGGCGGTAATAACATTGTGCGTTCCCTACCTCTGTATTGTAATGCTCTCACAAGAAAAAATAAAAAATGTCAAAAAAAAAAAATACATATTAATAAATTTAAGATACACAAATTACATATATGTCTTTTATAAGGATAACTGAGAATAACTTGTCAAAATAATGGCAGCCTTATTTAGCAAATATGCTATAAACCCGAATATTGTAATAAAACATGCACACACTTAATATGCATTTTGGGGCAGAGAGAGTAGGAGATTTAACAACCTAAAGTCATAAAATCTCTGTTCCTGAAACTGATAAATTGTCTCTTTTCTGTTTTTTTTTTTGTTTTTTTTTTCTATACTGGAGAAGCAAACAGAGCAACATATTCTCATTATCAGTTCGTATGAAATCGAACGAAAGGTTATGCACAGTATTTCATACGTTTTTGATGTTTTTCCTCGAAAAAACAGATCAGTGCGCATGCGCAGCCAGACAGACGAAAAAAGCAGATCCGCAGACGGACTTAAAACTGGGAAAAACAGTGCAATAATTACTTCTTGATGTCTCTCACTAGGTTGCTTGCTGTTTTGTATTTTAGGGTTAGGGTTAGGGTATAATGTAGGGTGACCATATTTTCATTTTGAAAAACCAGGACACCTTTGAGCGGGGGGGCGGCTGCGGG